CACTGTCCTCGACGACCTTGCGGCCCCGGCGGCCCTTGGCTGGTGGTTCGGCTTTTTTGGGTGCGGGCTGTGGCTTCGGAGGGGGTGCACCCCCCTTGGGCCCGAAGAAGGACCTGATGTCAGGCATATCGACTTGAACAGAAGGAGCGGACGATTGAGAACGATTCCGACACGATGGAAACAAAGCTTCAAGGCCTGTCCTGTTTATAACAGCCGTCGAGCTTGCTGCCTAAAATCGGTGCGATGAGAGTGACTGGGTGGTGGGTAGGTTGCCTGGAGGGATGCGCTTCGACGTGAACGCTGAAGCTTTGGAAATCGTGACGCGAAGAGCACGCGCTTGCTGAGCGACCGGGGTAGGTGCGTTAAAGTGTGGCTTGAGCAGTGGGTCCTGTCGTCAATTTGTGGTCGCCCCGACTTTCAGGCACCGAATCCGCCCGCATCAGCCACATGCCCATCCCGGTACAGCTTCAAAAAAACACAACGTCCCTCTGGCCCATCATCGACACGGGACATCCAGAGTGCCGCCCACAACCGCAACGATGCGATCCTCGACGCTGCTCGACGCCTTCCGTGGCCTCCAAGTCTCGGCCACCTCCGCAGCGAGGACGCTTGCCACCCCAGTCCGACCTCAATTGGCGCGATCGGCCGTCGCCGCTGCGCTGCGCGATGTCCGCCCTTTCTCGTCAACACCAGCCCGCGAGGGCAACTGGCTCGAACCCTCGATCGACCGAACGAAGAAGATGATGAAGGGCAGGCCGCGCGTCGCGACGGGAGGCTCTGTAAAGGGCACGACGGTCATGTGGGGTGACTATGGGCTGCGCATGAAGGATCACCACCGCCGCATCAGCGCCAAGCAGCTCAAGAACGCCGAAGACACCATCAAGACGAGACTCCGTGGAACAAAGTACCGACTGTACAAGAGGGTGGCATGCAATGTGGGCGTTTACGTCTCCGGTAACGAGGTAAGCGGGCTCAGAGAGGTTGTCGAAGAGGGCCCAGCATGCTCACAAGACCACAGATTCGTATGGGTAAGGGTAAGGGTGGCTTCGACCATTGGGCCGCGCGTGTTGCTGTCAACCAAGTTGTGTTCGAGGTCAAGGGACTCGTTCACGAGGCTGG